CCCCCCACCCCCCTGGCAAAGGCCACGAACGTCGACGCTGACCACCGCAAGTAGATCACCTGCCTGCACCACTACAGGCCCAGTACCGGCCAGAAGACGACGAGGAAGAGAACGATACAGAACACGAAAATCGACAACAAGAAGGCGGTGAAGACGACAACGTTGACAACAAAACAGCAGCCTATTGCAGCCCACAACTGCTGCGCTCGTCCGCCAACAATGCTTGATTTGTGGATGACGGCAACCGGAGGGGGGCAGCAACGATGGCACGACGGACAGGCACGACAGCGACACGAAGAAGGACCAACGGCCGCGTGGACAATATGAGGATGTGGAGATTGGAGCATGCAATCGCGTGCAGCCAAGGCCAGGGGACTTCGGCGAAGATCCGTATCGCACGTTCGGCCACACGGAATCCGATGAGGATGAGGAAAAGCTGATGAAGACAACGGCGGTATATGTGGAACGACAACTCCCGTCGCAGCCCATGCGGGCTGAAACAACAGTCGATGCAATATGTTCACACCACGACTGATTGCCGAAATGGCTTCTCCCGAACGGCTCCCTGCCCGGACAACCGTCGCCACGCCGGCCGCCCCGTCCGTATGCAACCATTGCCCAGACCCTGCCCGGTGACACTGCCAAAAACCATGTCGCCGACCAAAGACCCCACGCCATGCGCCTATAATGCTCCTCAGCGATGGCATTGCACTCCGAACGCAGCTTTGCATCCCAGTACTTGGCATGACGACAGCGCTTGGGGCTAACTTGATCCGCACGTGCGCTCATATGCTGCCAGCGTTTGGCTGTATCACCCATGCATGGCTGGCCATCATCCCCGGCCCGCCCGTTTTTTGAATTTGAAATTCGTTCCTGTTTCGGAAATCAGGGCCCATGCAGGCCAGCCACACAACGGCCCACATCAGAACCGTGCGACAGGGCAGTGCATGTCCGAGGGGGCTTGGCCGCTCATGAAACGGTCCGCCGTGACGTCAACTGGACCACACCCGCTCAGCATCTTCTTTCCACGGGAGAACATGCCCCCCCCCCCACTCGGTTGGAAGGCGTTTCTGGAAAGGTCGTGGAAGACCACGCGCTTCGATTTCCAAGCCGCCAACCGAGTAGAAACGTTTCTGACACCTTTCCGGCAACGTCTTTCCATGGTCTGTGGGGTCTGAAAAACCTTCCAATTCTGGGTTTCCATCCTCTTTTCCAGATCAGTGGAGTCCCAAACACACCGTCCTGGAAAGATATTTCCAGGAAGCCGAGCAGTGGGGTCCGACTCTTGGCCAATGTTGTTGGTTGCTATGTAGCAACGATATTGGGGCTGGCTCTACTATAAAACACTGTACATGCATTCGGACGCTCTCCTGACCAGATACATTCTCAATGTTGGAAGAATCCAAATGCATGTACAGTGTTGTGTAGTGGAGAGACGCCCATTGGATATTACACACTGGTAATACAGGCTGAGGAGGGGGGGGGGGGGGGAGACCCCCCAAAGTCAGCATAGCACCTTGGCCAATGTTGCTGGGTGCTATGTAGCACCCACATTGGCCATTACACATTGCTGGGTGCTATGTAGCACCCACATTGGCCATTACACATAGCTGGGGGCTATGTAGCACCCACATTGGCCATTACACATTGCTGGTGGTTATGTAGCACTGACTCAGGAGCAGTTTCAAAACTTGTGCAGGCACCCACTTAATGAGGCGATAAGAGCATCCTCGTCAAGTGGGGGCCCACCAGGAAGGCTCCATCTATTGGTGGGGAGCTATATCTGCTGGAAAGCGGGTCCAGCGTCCCAGTACAGCCGAATAGCTCAGCGGGTAGAGCACCGGTTGGAATTGCGCATTGTGGTATAAGGTTGGTGGTTTAGGCCCAGGTTCTTGTAGAGGAGGGATACTAGACATATGACAGTCACCCATGGAGATCGGCCACTCGGAAAACCCCTAAACAAACAAAAAAGAAGGATACAACATTTTACGAATTTACAGTAGTACAGAGGAACAGAGATCTCTATACAGTTGGTTCTCTGTGGTAGGTCCTATTGCCTCTTTGGCAGCAGTGGTGTGAGCCTTTATCGTTTCCCCCCCCTCCTTTGTTCGTCCCCCTGTGCCTTGCATCCCATTGTATGGGTGTCTTGAACGACATCCTCTGTTGATTCCTTTTTTTTTTTTTTTTTTTTTTACTCGGAACATCTGGAGTTGGGGTCTCCTGGTCCATTCCCGGACCACACCTGGGCCCAAGTCCCACTAGCAGCATTGAGCTACCTCAACGCCTGAATCTGGACGTGTTTGTGGAGACGTGCAGTTCAGGAAACTCAATGCCATTTCCGCACATCTCCGCAAAAGCGTCCAGATTCAGGCGTTGAGGTAGCTCAATGCTGCTAGTGGGACTTGGCCCCTGGTGCCTGTCTGTAGCTGCAGAGTTGTTGTGTATCTGTCTGCTTTCTTTTTTTTTTTTTTTTTTTTTTGAAAGAAACATCATTGGCGCGAAAGCACCTGCTAGCAGGAGTTGGTAAGAGCATCCTCCTCTAGCACGTTTCACAGGGTTGATGGCTCCAATCTATTGGTGGGGAGCTGCACCTGCTGGAAACGGGGTCCAGCGTCCCTTTAATGACAATGTCATGCACCAGGAGCCAAGTTTACAAGAATCAATCAGTTCGATACACAGCAGGAGGCAGCATTGATTACCCTCTCCAGGAGGGGAGACTGACCTCCCTTTTACGAAGATATACAAACAACCCTGATTACTTGCCATGTCCATCCTCCCCTTGAACATCCGTGATCGTCCTTCGCCCCAGCTTACGAGAGACAGTCAGCATTTCTTCTTTCTGTGGGGAAGCTCAACCCTAATCCCACTTATGAAAGGACCATCGTGCCAAGCCACGCCTAAAAAAAGTACCGCCTACATAGGTGTATACTGGTAGGACATGGGCACAAGCTATGGAGATTTCGACCAACAGCAGAGGCAGTTATGCAATTCGGCCCAGGAGGGAGAGAGGCCGTCTACCGCAGAGAAAGAAGATATGCGAATTTTGCAAAATCGTTGTGCAGAACCTCCCACACGAAGGGATGAAGTCCAATCCCAAGGCGGTTGCCAAGAGCGGTAACCCTGGTCGCCCCCCTTCTCTCGTTTCTCCCCTCGCATCCTTCCCCCCCTCATCTTCGTCTCCTCCCATGGTCATTTTCACCCTGGAGGTCGGGGTCATCACAGGACTGCCTAGTGGCCTCGCTGTGCTCTGCCACAGAATGTGGGGGCTGTTGGAGGCAGTGGTTGTTTCATTGGAACTTCACAGAAACTAGTCGTGCTTTCATTGTAACTTCATGGACTCTTACCCGGTTTTGGCGATCGGGGCGCAGCGCTACCGGGAGCGCTGCGCCCCGCCCGACGCTACGTGTTCCTGGAGATGGCGCGCGGCGGCGATGGCGGCCTTTTTTGAAGTCCTGGCGCTAAGCGCACGCGTGAGGACCGCAGGCGCTTGACCACACCATCTCACAAGTTGATGTGGCAGGTGGTCTGACTCCGGGTGGCGTTCAGTTTCTGAGAGTTGCACGTTTTGCTCCATTGCCGCTGCGTTGCTGCACGTGGCTTTCGACCTGAGAGGCGTCAACTTTGTCGATGTCTGTGGAGTATTCTTTTACTCGCCGTCGAACAACAGTGGTTAAACGACAACGTGATCAACTTTTATCTCAACCTCTTAGCATTAGACAACTGCTGTAGAATACAGCACGTAGAATGCGACGCAGATAATGAGATAGTCATTAGAGAAGGAAACGGTCGCATTCCCAAAGTATCAGTGTTGAGCTCGTTTTTTTTTGTCAAACTTTTCGATAATGACATGAGATATAGAGGCCGAGAGGTAGAACGCTGGTACCAGGATGTAATTATAAGTGACATGGATTTGGTTATTGCTCCTTTCCATATCGCACACCAGGACCACTGGACCTTGGTCGTGGCTGATTTGAGGAGGAGGAAATTCGAATTCTACGACCCCCTCGACCCCGACAAGGAGTTCACGTTAAAAGTGACCGGCGGGTTTGCAAAGTTTTTATTCGAAAGATCGAAATCGCAAGGCAAAGAGGTGGATACAAAACCATTCAATCACATATGGAATGTAGAGGGCATTCCAAAGCAACATGACACGAACGAATGTGGGGTCTTTGTACTCACGTATGCGTCACTTTTGGCACGGGGCCAACTTCCGCCTTTCTGTTTCACCGCAGATGACATACCCGCGATACGTCGTCGAATGGCATTGGACACATTGGCTCGTGAGTAGTGTGTACGTGATATTATATAGTATGATTGCGAAGGGGGCGGACGTGGTTGGCACGAGATGGCGCTTGACAAAAAACAATGTATATAAGGTGTTAATTATTCCTCGGTGCACTGTGTCACTTGCCCCTTGCATGGTAGCTTACACCTTACACCTTACCCCATACACCTTACACCTTACCCCCCTACACCTTACACCTTACCCCTTACACCTTACCCCTTATACCTCACCCCGAATACCTTACCCCTTACCCCTCACACCAAAACGCCCATTTGTAATGGTTTTTGCACTTCAATCATCTCAAAAATGACAATTTCAATTTCGTTCAAAAAATATAAAATGTCCGTTTTGACGAAAT